TTTAGAAAATTTCTATCAAACGAAATACAATCCTAATTCACGTAATTTTAAACTTACAGGAATTTCAGAGGAATTAAAAGATTGCTAATCGAAAGCTTTAAGCGAGGCGTCATAAGCAGTAAATTTTTACAACGTCTCAGAATGGTTTAATGACTGATATTTTGTCAGCTCGCAATTTATTTAATTGATATGTGCAAGAGCGCTTTTTTGTGTCGTTTTGGTCGCCAGCGAGGTACCTACGTCTGCAACTTTGTGCCACTTGCCTCTATCAAATACTTTAATTATATTAGTTTGCAAGTTATACCAGTGGAATAATCCATAACTATTTTCTCTTAAATAGTTCTCTACTTAAAAGGGGTCTTGCAAAATGTAAGCCGAAACTATGAAACATGAAAACCTTTACCCAAATCATACAGACACACAAGTCTAGGCCTCAACTCAAATAACAAAGTTTTTAAAAATAATTTCTCAATTACGACAGCCGAAAAGGTCCAAAACTAAAGTAGCCTTGTAAAATGGCTGTGGAAAATGAAAACACTACACAAAAGATACCACGATCATGTTGAGTTATTTTGGCTCGCGATATTGTATAACAAATAATAAATGTGAAGCACTTAAAAGTGACCTTGACTTTGCAACATGGATGTTTTGTTGTGTGACTGTGTTGTTTGGTTGGATGAAATTACTATTTTCCGTACTATGAATGTCTATCTACTTGTAGAGGTTTATATCGCCGATGTATAGATAACTTACAGCATTGATGATAAAAAGACACAATACATTTAAATAAAACACTTTAACGGTTTAAAACGTAACACTATACATGAAAATATTAAGTATTTGGACTGAATCAGTTCCTAATTTACAGACGCTAGAACATGCCAGATAGGGTAGATTCCCTTCAGTACGTCACGCTCAAGCGGTTGCAGGCCAGCAGCCAGTAAGAGGCACCGACGCCACCTAGGTAGTTCCTAGGAGGAAATATTATAGCAAGGTCGTTACGAGGATGCGCACTGACCGTGAACGGATCTTTAAGTTATGCTATGTTGTTGGCTGGTTTTATTTATTTAAAGAATAATATTTTATCCATAAAAAAGTTCTCAAGAGTGTCTAAATCTCATTACCTTTATGCACGCCATGTTTTAAATCTTCAATTGCAAATATATTATTTTATTGTACTGCTTGGAAAAGTGAAATATAACCCACAAATTACTGAAAAATTATTTCCACGTGCACTTTAAATGATACGTAGGTTTGCAATAAATATTATCTATTATTCGTTGTACATATAAGAATGACTAAAAACTAAATAACTCCTGACATATTGTAGGTTATTATAAAAATAATTATTCATGTGCCACTGTACATCTTGGTACGAATAGGTTGGTTACAAACGTCTTATCCTTTATTAGCTAAGTAATTGCCCAAATGAAGAGCGCTAAAAAAGTATTGAATAACATGTATTGTGTATAGAGTGAGTTCAAGGTAACATTTAAACCCGCTTGTCGTGGCGAATCGACGAATTACATAATACCGATTCATGAATAGCGAGATAAAATAGTCAGACTTTCTGTCTGAAACCCTAACACAGATGGCTTCCATAGCACTATGTTTGAAGGCATTGTCTAGTATGTGTATTAATTAAGTAGTAGAAGGCTTAGTCTAATAAACTTGCTTGTAACATATAACAGACATAGTAAAATGTCTTTCCTACGCCCAACTCAGAATTACCTACACGCACTTTTAGTCTAAACGTCTTTTTAACCACCATTATGTGCGACATATTGTGAATGTGTAAAAGAGATTTATTTATGTTTTTGACTTCCCCTCCACTTGAATCAGCAAAGGTGTTAAGGATAATATAAGAAATATGCGTCAAGGAAATGCGAAATCATAGCAGTGATTTTTAACACATTGGAAATTATGGTAAAATACCCTATAAAACTTGAATTTGAACATATTTGATGCATTAGTTGGCAGGAAACTTAAATGTTTTATGACAAAGAATCAAATGTCAGTAACATTTGATTCTTTGTCATAAAACATACTGAATAGTGTACAAATGTAGTATACCCACTGATAGTCGTAATATAAAAACGTAAAAAGCTATGAGAACTTGTCACATTTAATACAAAATTAAAATAGAGATTATTTGTGTCTCTTTATAGCATTTATCTAGGGATGAAAGCAATTTTTTTATAGCGATCACAATAAATATCAATATAACACAAAAGAAGAATTTCGCGATGTATCCTAAGAAAAGGCGAACAAAAGGTTACGTCGCCTTTAGTAACGACGACTTCAAACGGATTAAGCTAAACTTGTTAGCGGGTACTTGCTAATTAGGACATCCTAGTTTTACTGCGAGCTCGCAACTTCTGCGTAGCCACAATTGCTCTTAGGAATGTAGTGCCTATTTACGAGTACAATAAAGGTTCAACACGTATGTACTAAAGGCGGTAGAATTATATTTAAAAAATGAAAAATACCCTTTGTATTACATCAGCCATAAATTTGTCGTTTGCTCTAATATGACTGTGTCCTAGTTTGCAAATACCCACCTTAATCTCGTTAACAGAGTTTTTTGTATTCTTGGTATTATTATGTATTATGGTGATATATTTTAGCCCCTACGTGGGGTAGACACAATTATATGTTTCACTAGTTATTTTTACAAGAAAAGTGCCCTGCCCGATGGAAGCGACATATATATATTTATTGTATGTGTATACGCTCCATAAAGGGGGACATAGGGAGGAAAATAATTTAGCAACACACCTATGTTAGTAAAGAAGTCAGGCTCAAACCGAATCCACTGTTAAGTTATTGCTGTAGGTACAAATGGGTAGTAATTGCGACTGATAAGTAGCATTTATCCACTTTTCAACTAGACACGGACACTTGAATTGCAAATACGCATTATTAAATATTAAAGGCGAGGAAAATACTGCGCGATTATTATTATATTTTCATTTAGGAAGGTAGTGTTTAAAGTGAAAATTAAATACACAGCGTGGAAATGAACACTTCCGTAGCTCAGTCTAAAAAATTACTGCTCTGCATTTCGCTAAGTAGAGAAGGTCCCGAGTTCGAATTAGAAAACAACCAATCACTGAAACCGATGACTGAAATGTGCCCCAGGTTTGCCTAAATAATTTCAATCTGTGATCGAAAACCTTCGTTCTCTAACTAGAGTTGAAAGACACTAGTCATTGACAATTGGCAGAGTCAGTCGTCGGGCTTCGTGCAATGTGCATTTAGAAAAGTACCACAAAAACAAGAACTGAATTGCAGCATTGTTGAGTTAAGTAGGCGCGCACAAGTAAAAACTATTATCTCATTATGCACTCACGTCATCTGTTCGACATACCTTCTGCTAGAAATACGTGCATTCTCACCTCAAATTCTTCTAGTCTTATCGCAATTAAAGAATTAGTTTAGGTTAATGGCCCACCTCGCTTACGCCGGCGATAGTAGTCCCAACTTCCAATACACAACACGTTTACAAAATAAACTGTTAAAACTTACAACGCAATTTTCAAGCGCGAACTACGAATGGTATTCGTTTTTTTATTATCTAACGCGACGAGGCGTTTCAACACGCGTGTCGCGTTCGGCGGCGCGTGTTCAACTGAGCCATTCCAATTTACGTTTGACATTTTCTGAACGCAACGGTCTATCGTTTTTTATCAGACAATTACGTTCACTACGGCGCTTGAATTGGATAAGGTTTTATTTTCCTGATAAAGCCTGCAATGTATACTTTACTATATGTTCTCGATTTAAAACGACAATTCTTTAGTTTATTGAAGGGAAAGGTGAATATTTCTCTTAAAAACTTCAATAAAATATATGATCTTGGTTTTGGCGCCAAAAGTGATTTATATTCAGATAATCTGGACTTGCTGATAGCATTTGTCAAAAACCTGTATTACTTTGGTTACGAACATTCATCGACAAAATATATTGTCCATCTTCAAGTAAAGAAAAGGCTTGGTTGGAATGGCTTTAATTTTTAACGTATCTATTGATATATCGATGAATAAATATGAGTAAAATAATGGACGACCTTACAATAATTATTATATTATTTATTCACAAAGATCCCACTAACATGAGAATTATTTCTTGTTAACTAATACACTATAATTCATGACGATATGAAATCTTATTTGATATGCTTATTTCGGCTCAAGACTTTGAAGAAAAATATTGTTGCCATAATGTTAGAGCGTTAGACATTTTTCGGGTGATGTTTGAAAAGTTATCTAGGACATGCAAAATCTTGAGCTCTTGGAATAAAATATAGGAAGCTAAGTAGATTTTTAAGTTGAGCCGATTTTAAGTGATACAAAAGATTTCAAAAATGTTGAGCAAATCACTAGGTATCAATAGGTAGATAAATAGAACAAGATTTTATAAATATCATTTCGATAAATAACTTAAGTACTACCTAGTTTTAAATGTTCATAACTAACATTAGGTTTACATTTTGACAATCGTTACTTTACTTAGCATACTTATTTCTTTGGCTTATTTACATTTTCATTATTCTCATTACATATTACCGAAAGAAACGGTCGTTTCAATATAAAAATGTTTTATAATAATTTAAAAACTACTGGAATGTCGAAGATATTTAGGGACGAATTAACCTCTTAAGAGATGTAAAACCTCTATATTGTTATTTATTATTAGAAATGCTAATAGTTAAGTCTTAGTCTATTAATAATAAATAATTTTAACAAAATAAAATATCTACTTAGTTTAATAAATACATTAATTATTATGATGAGAGTAGATATTTATTTTAACGTCTGCTAAAATATAATTGCAAAGTTTGCAGGATACTTGCTGATGACAGTTTTTTACTTATTAAATAATTTAAGAGTATTTCTCGTAGGAAACATATTTGCAGAATTAATCTATTTGAAACCGTCGCTGAATTCTTTAACTTGCATAATTTGATTAAAATAATATTCTTATTACAACAGTTATAATTATCTTCCGGTATCCCTCCTTAGTATTCTGTTCACTCTATAAATTCTATTTTTTACATTTTCTATAGGTCCTCTACGCAAAAGCCTCGTCGTCGCAACTCTTGTCATGGCGGCTTTTAGACTCTGCGGTGTTAAAATAGCGGGAGTTTCAACTTTAGGTACATCTGTGGTAAAGATGGCGCCGTCTGACAACATGGCGTCGATGTCACCGTTCAGCATGGCTATGGAGTCGGATGAGCTGTAGTTTGATATCGGAGTACACAGCGGTATTGCGTTTGACCATTTTCTATTCCTGTAATAAAAAATATTTATTTGGACTATCTAATATATAAAATTCTCATGTCACAGTTTTCGTTGCCATACTCCTCCGAAAGGGCTTGACCGATTTTGATGAAATTTTTGTTAACTTATCCGGTATCTATGAGAATCGGCCAACATCTATTTTTCATCCCCCTAAGTGATAAGGGTTGTTCACCCTTAAATTTTTATTTTTATTTTTGAGACAAAATTTTTAATTTCTATTTTGTTATGATACAACATACAAAAATACATACAATCCTCAATTTTCACCCTTCTACGATCAACCCTTATTTTTTAATAGCCATTTTAGTAATTTACAAAACAAAGTTTTCCGGGTCAGCTAGTCATCTATAAACGGTGGTTAGTGACGTATGGAATTTCGATATTCCTACCACCCACCCAACCCATTTAATATCCAGATTAAGTCCAACGTGTTCCAGAAAAGATATAAATTAATTAGAAACACACACGAGCCCCGACGAATTGATTATTGGCCATGCATTGCTACCGTGAGAGCCCGTCAATTTTGCAAATAATGTTAGCTTATACACTGATCGTGCTATATAACTCACGAAAGATCTAGCTACTCACTTCAAGCACCTCAACATAGGTGCACCCTTGATTCGATATCCGGGCTCACATGTAAAGGAAACCGTTTCACCGATCTTGTAGTAGAACTTGACAGATGACATCCGCCCCGATATCGTTGTGCCGGGGTATGTACACGCTTGAGCACCTGCCAAAAGGACTTGACAATTGACCTTGATACAAAATTGAGTTAGAATTTGTTCTGGAAAAGCTTTGAACAATTAAATGTATGGAAATGGCCTTCGAAAACAATCGATGATACAGGTGGGATTCCAACATCTGGTAATTCTTTTTTCCTTTATTTTTTTTAGTAATACCAATACTGGAGGACATTGGGAATTAGACAATGGGGCGCATATATATGGTATGGTACATGTCTCGGTCGTATCTTTAAGAAATACATTTTTTACCCAGAATGTTATAGGTTAGAGGAGCCTAGCATAAACTAAGATCACATAGATTTAACACTTAACTGATCATTACATGACGATGATGATCAATTAGTTCAAACCTCAATACTTACTGTCATTATACTTACAAGTTGGGGGCTTGTCACTCCACCTGCCGCTGTCCTGGCAGACGAGAATGGGTCTGCCGTGTAACGTGTGCTCAGGGTTGCAGTGGAATTGGAGCACGTCACCAGCTCGGTACGGAGCCCTGCCTAAGACGTACCCGGACGCTGGAGGGGGCAATGCTGGACACGACACCTCTGAAATTTGTAAGGATTTCTAATTAAAATATTAAATTGAATAATCAAAATGTATACATTTCAAAATAAAGATTGCACTTGAATATGTAAATAACTATAATAATGTTACCATTCAATAAGCAGTAAAATCGTTTGATGAACAATGGTTTTTATTTTTAGCTTCACGTGACGAGGACTGTAGCCTATTATAACATTACAAATTTACCGCGACACACTGGAAACGGTTTCGCCCAATCCGCAGCCGGCAGACACACGGTCTCCGCTGGTCCACTGAGCGCCCAGCCCGGAGGACAAGAGAAGGCCGCTCGACCTCCGACTCCTCGAGATACGACCGCCACACGTGGCCTTCTTTCCCCCTCATTGATTGGCGTGTCGTGAATAACATCACCGCATTCGACACCTGGAAAACCGTTAGAATTATGCACTGGTGCTGGATTATTAGCACATCCAGCACCAGTTTTTAAGTAACGTTGTGCGCGGTTAGAAACGGAAGATAACCAGTCAGAAGGTATTTTATTCACTGGCAAGAAAATTTTGGTGCGATCGTAATAGGAAATGTTCATGTGCGTGTGATTGCTTCTTAAGAGTTGTAACTTAGAAGGGTTTAGTAAGACAAGAAGTGAAACGTTATACACGTGACTCGGGAAGAAGACAGGCTCACTCAGATACATCAACAGTACGTTACCCCGATGTTTGGCAAAAGAACGGTCATCCAGGCGAACGCGTTTCGCGTTGTAGCCGTTACCTGGCTTGCGCGCTCTCCTATTAAAAGCTGAAAGAGGTACTCGGATATAAGCACTCGTTTGACCTACAGCTTTTGCTTGCGACCAGTTACCTAATTGAGTTTTAAATATATTGTCTTAAAATGTCCATAGTGTATTTTTTCTAACTTGGCAAAAGATCACATCACATATGGCCGATTTCAAATATAGTCACTAGAGAACTAGAGATGACCTTTTATAGAGTAAAGTTGTTGCCACAAATGACACAGGCATAAAGAAATCTCGATATATAATATTTCCATGGACCAAACTACGTCAATATTCAAAATAACTTTTATGACAAGCTTTTTCTTTTACTTTCAATGTTTGAGGTAGTTCGTTAATTTAATATATAATCAAGTGTCTCAAAGTGTTTTTAGTATAAATCAATGAAACGTTCACGATTTCCTGTAATTTGGTGTTTGTTTACGAAAACGCGTACGCATGTTTAACGCAGCATATGCTTACTCACTTTCACACACGGGCAACGGCGCACTCCAATTGCCGGAGGCTCGACAATACAGAGTGGAAGCCCCCAGGAGAGCGTTGCCATTTGCGCAGGAGAATGTGATCTCACTTCCTAATTGCGTATCCAAACTGCTGGGTACAAGGCCTCGTCGGATTGGGAGAGGGGGGCAGTGGACATCTGAAGAAAATATTTCAGTACTTAGAGAAGTGAATATGTTTAAAAAAGCATAAGAAGGTAACCTTCCGGGCCCCGGTTTTAAATCACCGGTATATCTAACGCATCACTTAAATCATTAAATACTCTTCGTAGCTTACACATTTGAAGAAAACACTATAAGCCTCCGAAACGTCGTCATAGCTAATAATTGTTTTAAAAATATATGTCACGTTTATAACCGTTAAAATGTTTTATTTGTAGTTGTACTTAAATAACTTGCCTTATGGTTTTCGATGACAGGAAAACCATTGCAGATGACCGCACTACCTACGTGTAAACGCTTGAATCACTATGATCTAAATTTGATAATGACCTATTTTCCATGATAATGAATCAGCTCACCTTCCACGATGATCTCAACTTGATGACTTTGCCTGGCAGGTGTTTCGCATCGATAGATTCCAGAATCTTCCTTCTGGGCATTTAGGACGCTGAGACGATATTCTAGCTGGCTGTCGCGTCCCGGGTCTGTGGTCCAACCGTCTGTGTACTTGCGCTCAGGACTGTAGAAAATTTAGTGGTACATGGTTTTACTTAACTTGCAGATAGACGAAAACAATAAACATATTTATTGTACTTCATGTTATGTGTCTAAGATTTGCACTTACTCAGGTGTGGTATATGTGACGTTCCACTTAGGATTGCCAAACCTCCTCATCCACAAGCATTCCATGTGCAAATCCGTCCCCGGATATACCAGCAGTTTGCCGTCGTTCGACTGAGCGATAGGGCCGTTCGCGTGCCTAAATAGAATCGTCGGAGGCTTCTCCACTGAAATGAATTATGTTGCTCTTTTGAACACTCTGTAGAATCACGACGAATGTTTTGACAAATCTAAATATTTTTTTAAATTTTAAAGAGAATAAAGTATATTTTAAGAAACACATGTTTACTTATATCAAGTTAATAAGCTGTGCAATAATAATACATATTTTCTGAAGGCTTAGTCGGTGCAATGCACGCCTAATAATCTACGGGTCGTAGGTCCGAACCCCAACGGGTCAATAAACTTTTTAAATCAATTTAAATTTTTCTGAAACATTTTGGACTTCGTCTCGAAATCTGGATATTAAATGCGTGCCAGGACCCTTTTCGAATCCCATCTTTTTCTGTCCTCCTCAATCATAAAAAAGTAATATTCCGCCTACTTGCGTAATCATTTTCCTGGTTGAGTCCAAAACAGGTGGGTTTAACGCCGTCCCATGTCCCTCCGATACATCTCCTGGTTTGTGATCCCGTCAAAGCATACTTCCCGATATCACTACATCTGAAAAAATTAAACAACAACTGTATGAATGTATCGAATGGAATGAGATCAATTATAATGTATTATGTGTACTTGTGAAAAGTTTTATTCAATGATTTGTTGAGCTGCAAAGCATAAGACAATGAACCTCAATTCGACTGAAACAAACCTTGAAACAATAACAGCTCCGGGCGGAAATTCAACTGTTTCTGTGATTTCAAGATCATTGAAGAAGGACACTACGTGAGGCTCTTCATTTCGGAATGTACACGTGTTGTTGCTTATTAATTCTTCACTCTGAGCGTCCAATTCTTCTGTAACACGGATTGTTGTAATGTTTATAACTTGAAAACTTTATTTTACTAATGTAATTATGTCGCGCCGATAAACACACTTACCGCAGTTAAAGCTCTTGCCAACCCAGTTGCCGTTCTCACAAATAATCTTCCAAGTCGTCTTCTCACCCATTATAGAGGCGATACAGCTGAAAGTGATCTTCACGCCGTGCGGGTACGTGTCCGCTATGTCATACGTTTCGTTCACGTCAGAGCCGTCTCGGTATATGAGAGTGCCCTGCACCCTACAACGATCGTCCAATTATATAGTTCAAGCATCCCGCGGATAGGAAATCCCAAAGTACCAAAGACAACTTTCCTCGTAAGTATTTACAGCATGCACTACACACTCGCAAAAAATCGCAACAAAACGTAAGCTCGGCCAAGACAGAAAGGAAAAAGCCAAAACTCTCCCTGTACATTATGTTTCTTTAACTAAGCCCTGCCTTCTGAGGATTTCCAAGACGGTCGAAGAATACTAAGGAAATAAATTATTGAAGAAAATCAGAGAACAATCACCGGTTCCGGTGGCGATGATGATGATGACTGCTCTAACGTAGAACTATGTCTGTCAAGACTTCTATTAGCCGGCGAATTGCGATTATTTTAAGTTCTGTCTCGTGATAAGAACCGACGACGGTCATCGGATTTTACGACACCCTTCCCCTTCCTGAGGTTTTCGGTAACTGATATACTTTGCATAGAATTGAGATCGTAGTTCTACGTTGGTTATAGCACAGTTAGTCTGTGCTTCGTTCCTTTGAACTGGGTATGATCTAGAATTTGTTGATGATTAGAAAGGTGATAAACGTTATAAAAGCAAAATTCCGAACCTAGAAGGCTCTCACCAGGGCTTGGCATCCCTGAACGCCTGTGTTCCCTTCAGTCTTTCCAGCCAGCAAATAAGAAACGCAGACTTTGCAAAAATATTATTTTTGTCGCTTCCCATTACTCTGGGGCGTGACCGAGCAAAGTGCACCCAAAAACGATAAACATGAGCGCAATTTGCTTCTACTTAGCTTTGAGTCCGCAAAATAAAAGACCAAAATCGGGTGAACTGAGGACGGGGGTTTCGCAAGTTTCATATACCATTTTCGACTTCTTTTGTGGATTAAAGAAATGACGAAAGCCACAATGAAAGCGTGTTTACAATGATTCTTAGGAAGCCAACGAATCTGCTGCGCTTTGCTTTCTCGTCAATTGCGCACACAGAAGACTCCTTGGCCACCGAAAGCACGTTTCGACCGACACCCGAGGGAAGCTCGGAAATTTTATACCTTTCAGGTGGCGCGCAGGGGATCGCCCCTTCCTGCAAATCTGGCTCCAACTCCGAAATGTCTTCTCTCACTATGTCTGACCCGCTTTGAAATTTAGACTTGATCCATGGACGAGTCACGTTTACTGTAAATTGTTTTTGGTCAAAAATCATTCATTCACATATGTTACTTATTGGGTAGTTACTTATGATCGTCATATTAGTTAAAAACTAAAAACTCTAAATTTACATTTATTATCACTTCTCAAATCACGGACGTAGACCGAACGAGAAAAACTGGCAATAAACTCGCCACCATTTCTTTTTTCTTCAAATTCCAAGAATATGACAAAAGAAGTAAAAATAATGAACTCACGCAACGGCCTGCAGAACTCATGTACAGTAGGTTGGAGCCTGCCCAAATGGCAGTTCAACGTCGCCGGAGGTGACCTCCCAGGCTCGCACGCAATATTGACCGAGGACGCGTGAGCCACTGTCAGTCCAGCTCGATAGCCTGCTTCGTAAGTGGCTCCTGTCAGCTGAGGAAGCTCGCACGGAGCTGGAAACAACAAGAAGCATTATTTAATTTTGTCTATATTAATAAATATTATGTTTTCAAACACTCAATTTTAGTTTTGATAAAGTGGAGTAACGAACCTGCTACGCATTCCGGCATACTGGTCACTGCCCACTCTCCGAGCCAACACCGTAAGTTTGTGGGTCCTTGCACATTGTATCTGCAAGACGATAAGCTTACAATAAAACTATTATTTTTTCAGTTTGACAGACAAGCACAGAGTTCGATAGATGAAGGGTGAAATACCCCCCCCCCCCCCCCCATATCTAAACGAGTTGCGCTGTCGACCTATTTTGGTTTTGGATATTCGAAAATTTACAGATTGAAACCAAAAAGTGATAAAACCCAGCTTTTAGATATTCCTACCGTCCAGATGAATTCCAAAATATTTAAAAAATTAAAATAGAACTGTTGGTTCCAGGTGGATCAAACCCACGACTGGCTGATTATTAGCCATATATTGCTACCATTACTCCGACGAGCATGTTAAACAACTGTTTAGCATTACTTATGTTTTAGACCACCATATCTAGTTAATATAGAAAAAACTCACCCGTATTCACAAGAGAAGTGGACGATTTGACCATTAGGCACCGGGTCGGTTTCATTCAGTTCTCTCTCGTCATCTCTGGTAGTTCCGGCGATGAGCGTTCCCAAATTGCCATTAGGGGACATCGTGTATATACCGTACTCTGTGGGTGGCACGTGACAGGGCACTGGAAAATAAAACTAATATCAATACACCGTCTATGATCTAAGATCGGCTGATGATGACAAAAAAAAATATTTTCTGTGTGAATCATGCGCATGACAGTCATTCAGTGAATACAGAAAATAAAACAATTACTCACAGACTTCGCAAATTGGTTTTTCGGGCTTCCACCTTCCTCTTACGCACTTAGCGGTAACGTTCGTTTCTAGATTTAGTCCGTAACCCTTCCCGCAGGCGACTCTTACGATTGTGCCTTTAATAAATATTTCAAAATAATCATAAACGCTTTTTGGTTATACATTTATAATGAGATTAAACTAGAACTCACCGGAACTAAAAGTATTGTTAGGATCTCGTCCGTACTTGACTATTTCTATGTTTACGTACGGTTCACTTTCTATCGGCTCGCACGGACTCTTCGGTCGTCCCTTCTTTCCATTTTTCTCATTGGACGTTTGGTTTCCGTCATTCTCTTTAGTTTCAGTGCTGGTCGATTTGTCGTCTGCGGATTTACTGTCGTCAGTTTGTTGACGGTTCCTTCCGCCTTTGCCGTCTCGACCGCTGTTCAGAAGAGATTTAAGTACATATATTCTAAAACTGGAAAAATGATAAGAATTTACTTACGTTTTTGGGACTGTCGCTGTCGTCTGGTTCAATCTATCGGTTTTCCTGCTCGTTCTCTTCTCCCTTTTATCCATGATGTTTAGGAATTCGGTTGAATTAGTTCCTGTGAACTGCAACGGGATCACCGCCATTTCTTTTTTACGAGGCGGGGAGTGGATTGTCTGAGTTTGTAATGGGATTACTTTCAGGAAGTAATCGCTTATATCGCTAGATTGGACTTCCTGTGTGGGCCTCAAGTAACTTTGCGTATCGTGTTCCTCGTAGTGCACGTGCCGCTTCTTCCTAACGCTGATTTCTGCTCCCGTGTCTATTTCGATGCTGTGGTCGGGCTCGGAGGTATCGTTGTTGCTATTCAAAAATCTTTTACGTCTCTTATCGATGTATCGCTCGAAATATTGGTGTTTGAGTTTATTTATATTATCAGATACTTCATTGCTCTCGTCCATTTCGTGATCCGGGAACGTCCCCCCTTTGAGGACGGTAAGTTGCGAATCCTCAAACTCCCCAGAGTCATTATACTCCGCGTCTTCGTGATGGATTATTTCATCTTCTTCCGGCTCATACACCGGTTGGTAAGAGTAAAATTTGTGCGTTATTGGTTCACCGTGTACATTGTAAACGGTGTAAATAGCCGTGGGTAAGTTTCCGTCGTCGGGACTGGGAGGTTCCAGCATGTCTTCGTCGAAATCCAGATCGAACTTTTTCATCAGCTTGAAATTAGCGTGGCGCAACGTCGGTTTATCGCTGTCGTGGTTGTACTTCTCGTACAGCTGGTCGAGGTTCTCCTGTGACGCGTCTTTGCTCTTGCGAAGGTTATTGTAGTACTGCCGGAGATACGCTGACCGTCTGTGACGGACTTCTGTGTCGGCGATAGAACGGCGTCTCCGGCTCCAACGTATGCGCGGATGCTGGTAAAGAATGCATCTAAAAAATGATCGTCATTATTGAGCTTGTCAGTATAAATTTATTGAATACTAGCCGCTATGAGCGATTTTGTACGCGTAGAATAGAATTTACTATTTTTTAATTTTAGAGTATAATTTTGGGCTACTAAATTGTTTTTGGAATTCTCCTTTTCATCTTTATTGATTTAAGCTGTTACCCACGTCGTTCTTGGAAGTTAAAGTGAAAAGTATTTTTTTTATACAATTTAAAAAGAAATAATTCTTTAATACATATTTTTTGAGTATCTTGAACAGTTTTCGTACGCAACGGACACCACAAAGACGAATATTTTTCCCCGTTTTCTCCACATTTTCCCCTGTTCTATAGCCTTCCTCGATAAATGCTTTAACCAACAAAAAATAATTCAATTTCCACCGGTAGTATCTGAGATTAGCGCGTTCAAACAAACAAACTCTTCAGCTTTATATATTAGTATAGATAAAAATTAAACTTACTTCGGCAACTCCCTAGGGCTCCAGTGGCCGCCGACGCAGGTCGCACCGGGAGGGCCTTCTGTTAATACATAGCCCCTGTCGCATTCGTACATTATTTGTTTGTTATTGACGACCTGAAATTGAAAGTGATATATTAGTTAATCCACGTCACTTTTACCACGAACTTCTATGTATTTACGTGTAACTTTCGAAATAACCTTTTTAACATAAGGTCTGTAGTCATAGAGGCCCATATTTCCGACTAAGAGTACTTTTCCATTCTCTATGTAGCCAGGGAAGGGACAGAATACTGAAAAAGAAGAATCATTTTAAAATGTATTCAAAGTACCATTGACTTAAGTTGACATATAAGAAGGAATTTCAACTTACACTCCTCACATTTGGGTGTCTCCCCACTCCAGGTCCCGAAAGAGCACACCACTATGGGGTTTCCTTTGAGCTCGTACCCATCTTTACATCTGAATCGTGCTTTCATGCCGTGTTCGGTTTTGGGTGCGATGACCATGCCATTTCTGGGGAACCTCGGCATTTTCTTGCATCTGAAAGTATACGAGTAGAAAACATATTAAAAAAGAAAGCCATGTAACATTGCAATAAGTGCACTGTTGATCTATTTTGGTATTGGATATTCTGGAACCAAGGCGCGATTAAGATTCACTGCTTCATCGGTGGGGATGGTGGTTCATGAGTCATAATCCAGAAGGGGTTCCGATATTCCTACCATTTATTCGACATCCAGATTTCCAGACCAACTCCAATATATTTCAGAAAAAAAAAAAAACATCTGTTAGTTTAGACCTTGTGAGGATCCAACCCACGACCCGTTGATTATTAGCCATACATTGGTACCATTAGACCAACGGGCTATCAAATTAAATTAATGATGTTTAACTAATAAAGAAATATTAGGTAATATATCCTATTTACCTAGCAGGTTGACAACGTGGTATCTGCGTCCAGGTTCCATTGTTGCAGGTGATAGCCGCATTGGTGGAGGGAAACTCGTAATCTTTTTCACATTCCACTACTATCATTTCACCTGCACACGAGAAGATATTACGGCATTAAAATCTCTTCTTTACTTCTTCTACATTGAGTAGCATGAGAATATCTTTATTTGCTCACCATGTTGGACCATAGTGGAGCTACCCACTATTTGAGTGTGCTCTTGGGTTTCGTTGTCACTGGTCTTATTTTCCATGAGAACAACCCTCCCTTGAGATACATGCGGAACCACACACGGAGCTGGAATTAAGCAAATAATATATGATAAGATCGACAATTATAGTGGTCTAGTTAAAGGATAAGAAGAGAGGTATAGAAATACCTAAACACATCGGTAGCGGATGACTCCATGTGCCGTCGCTCTGGCATATCGCTGAACCATTTCCCTCCATTCTCATTCCGTCCTGACACCGAAATATGATGGATGCGCCCAATCCAGTACCAGACGAAATGTTTTCAAGCCATCCATTCCACAATTGGCCTGGATGTCCACAGTTTATTTCTGAAATTATAATTATGGACTTTGTTTAAATAGTTGTTGCTATGGAAAGTTTAACAAAGTCATTAATTTCGACTTAGCTTATGACAATTATATAAAAGGGTGGAGGGGTCATTTAGGTAATTAAATAGGCTATCGGTGATAGGGATACCTTTGCACAGCGGTTGTGTTCCAGACCACTTCTTATCGGCGCCGCATCGGCGCGTCGCATCACCGACCAGCCGGTATCCGTACTTGCATTCATAAGATACCACTGAGTTATACGCGCAAGAGGTGTACACAGCTTTGCCGTGCCGAGGCGCCTCGGGGGGCGGGCACTGCACCTGCGTCACCACTAGACAGCGACAGAGTCGCGTTAGCACTCGCCGCTCCCGGCAGATGGCGTTAAAAGCGAAAGCCGAAAATTTTGAAGCTCAGTCCAATCGTCATGCAAATCGAAACATGCAGAAATAAAAAACGGATCTTAGTTTCTTTAGTTTATTTCGCTACAACAGAGTTCTCAAGAGGCGAGAAGTGTTACAATAAGTTCTCGCTTCGCTACTACTCTAGTTTAGGCAAGAGGCAGTTGAAGATCGGTTTTACTTTTACCATGGCCATATTTCTTTCGAATGACACTAATTTCAGATTAATTTCCGTTAACAATTCTATAAATTCAACAACTACTATATGTAATGATTGATTCAAACTGTCCCCTTCTCTCCTTCTGTTCAGCAGCAGGAAAGGAGAAAAAAGAAGGTTTAAAAATTATTATTAAACACAACATTTGTTCGACGTCCCGCTTTATATTAGAAGACTTGAAAATGCAGACGATCTATTCATTGGTTTCGGAGCTTAGAGAGAGAACCAATCGCTTTCAGATATCGGGATCATCGACACAATAAGACTTCTAATAAAACAGGACATCCCGATTGCGTCATGACAATGGTATTGCTGATGATAGCCATGATAAGAAGAAGCGCCATGCCACTAGTCACCGAATAAGTAGATTCAACCATGCACATTCCAAATGAGGACATCAAAGTCGGCAACTACATTGTCACGAAGCAATGCCAATAAATAAAATGATTTAACGATGAGCCAGCGAAAACTGGAAATCTACGAGACGGAGTCACAGAGCTGGTCGAGGTTTACCAATGATAGGAAATCGAATTTTGAAACAAAGAATAGCTAAGTAGATATTCTATTTTTCTTATTAAATAAATGATACAGTTATTGTAACAGGTGGGAAGTTTGAGAAAGAAATTACTTTAATTTTGCTTTTTATTCTTTGCATTAAAATTCAGAAATAAAAAAGGAAATGTAACCCTACATTTTCTTATAGTTTGCAAGAATTTTCCAAACATGACTAATGAAAAATGTTGATTATAAAAGGCTCATCAGGGATCCTCAGGCCTTATATGACCACTTATATATTTTTGACTCTAAATTTAATTCAAGCTAAATTTTAGCTGGACTCATCACTAAATCCGTAAAACCCAAAGAGTACAATACTTACGGACACATGTGGGAAGCTCTTTAGGAGCCCACGCTCCATCTGCCTGGCAGTAGCGCTCGGCTTTACCGACCAGCTCAAACCCTTGTCCACATTGGACTACAGCACGACACCCGAAGGTGTGACAGTCGGCTGTCACCCACCCGTGGGGAACATCCCCTGGCTCACCACAAGAACGTGCTGACAATAAACATTATAATATTCTTATTTTGTTAAGTCTTAAATGATTACTCTTAAAAAAAGGTTTATTTAAAACAAATGTCTTACGTTCACAAGTGATGTCAGGTCCATACCAAGAAGCCTGTCCATCAATTGCGAGACATTTGGCCCTGGGAAAGCCATTTGTGACATAACCAGTATGACAATTGTATTGAACTGTAGCATCCAGGTCAAAAGTGGCTTGTTCTGGAAGTGCAGAGTGACGGGCGTGCGGGATCGTTGGAGGTTGAAGACAGTATACTAGAATAAGAGAATGTTCATGGACATAAATAATAAGCCAATTGTAATAAGAATGAAACAAAGAATAAGTAGCCTTGTTTAGTATATATTATTTATTATATGTACAATGTACATGTTGAATTTCAGAAACATTTTATTTGTTTATTTATGACACATTTAATAATTGTCAATGTATATAAAAGCAATGGCTTTACTGTGGAATTTGGAAAAAAAGAAATAAAACTAAATTTTATTATTACCACATACCCAATTAGTGTAGAAACAACATAACTAAAAGAAATTATCTTTCATCGATAATATAAGAATGTATTTTATTTGAATGCCAGTTCATCTTAAACTAACTGATCCATTGCTTACATAAATAACACAACCATTACTTACTGTTTTCCTTACAAGCTGGTGGCTGTCCCGCCCATTTTCCATCTGCTTGGCAGTTCCTGCTTTGAAGACCAACCACATGGTACCCATGAGGACAGGAATACACCGCTCTAGAAGATATATGTGGCCAAATTAAGATGCTAAGTTAATTATTCACTATATTCTGGATAAATAGTTTTTTATTTCCTACTATCATAGTCAAGACTTAAGTTGTTACAAAAAGAAAATATAACTAACTTATCACCGAAGAGTCGTCCAGTTAGTGAGACTTTCCCAATTTCTGGCTGTTCCAGCTCAGGGCATTCACGATCTGAAATAAAATTTAATCTTTACTCTGGATATGGTAATAAGCTTAATCAAATTAGCGTTTAAAGTAAAGTAAATTAGGACACAGTAATATCTAACCGAGGCATCAGTAAAAACTCTGAGTTTAATCTTTTAAAATTTATTTTAAATTACGCAAACAGACTTTTTATTAAAACTAGGTTTAAATTAAAGTTAAAAGTTAAACCGGCGCGGCATGGAAACAGCTAGAACGCATGGCCAGAACCTTTGTGATGAGAATTTATCTACTGATTATGCTTTACAAAAAGCAGTTTTCAAACCAGCGACTTGTTTATAATCTAATAAACAAACGTTATTTTACTAAACACTGACAGGCGGGATACTTAATTTTTGACATGACATTGACATTACATTATTTGAAAACGTGACATAAGGTACTAAAATAAATAAAACGACCTTATTTGGATTTGGGTCAATTACACAGGCCAGATTTATTTTTTAATTCAAATCATGTTATTTCATTTATATCGGTACTCTAAAGTGCTTAATATACGTAGGTACATACATTATCATTATCTTTTCGTTAGTAACATCCGAAATCATATCTTAACCAATTATCAAAAAATTCAACCAATCACGTTTCGTTTCTCCGTCCGTGCGCCCTCTATAGAACCCATTGCGAACTACCGGGGAGGCGCGAAGACCGTGTGCTTTTTGTCATTATGGCGTCGGTTTTTGTTCGATAAATTATTAATTACTAATAAATCTATATCATAATTACTGTAAAGTTATTGCTAGTTACGTGTTTTTTCTCCGCTTAAGTGATAGAGACACAAAGTGCTTAAACAGTAAAATCACGCGATCGTCAACTGCCGCGACTGCCACTTTTTCGCCTTCAACGAATTTTTCGAGCGTCGACATCGAGTCTTCAATGGTGTAGGAGAAGGCAGAGAAAACTGTGTTAAACCTTTTTTTAGATTCAATCCATGTCTAAAATTAGATGCCACATCAAATTTATTCGCAGGCGACTCGTGCTCTAATATGCCTACGCTAAAAAGACAAACTACACTTTTCTTGACCGGGCTTTAAAGAATAGAAGAGTTAAAGAGTTTTTCTAATAAATTTCTAATAGCTACCACAAAAAAATCGCCCTATTTTTTTGTCAGTTAGCTTAAAGTTTCATACAAATCAAAGGCGAAAATATAATATAAATTTTAATTTTATATAATAGGCGTAAAGGATGACCGCCGTACAATATGTTGAAGCTGCCTAAGAACGTTTTATTATCTTGAAACAATTTATGTACTCATATTAATTTCAATTACAAACTATTGAACAGTCTACTTATTCCTAATGCTCATATAACCGTTTTTTCTATTCCCGGATCTTATATCTATGCGAAGAAAAATATCAATCGAAAACTACCCTCGATATGCCTATCCACACAAATTCTAAAAATGTTAGAAACTGTTGTCTTAAAAAAGAGGATATTTTTCAAGCTACTTTTCGACGTTCGTTTTAGTTCCACTGGCAGATTTCAGCTTCTGACCAATTTTAGATTTGAAATTCCTGAATTTTTCTGTTAAAACAAAGAAATTTTAGTTTATACTGATGGATTGGAAACTGGTGCTTGACTGAATATAGATTACGAATGTTGTATGTAGGAAGGTAATAGGTACGTTTTATTTGTGGGTAAAACCGTCTAATAATGTTGCCCGAACAAACGAAAAGGCTTTAAGTACAAAATTGTTGAGCCCGCAAAAAGTTTAATTAAAACAAGCGGGGACAAGCGAGGGAAATTAATTTCGTTCATCGTTAATAATAATTGGTTGCTATTGTGCTTTTATTCGAGTCGCGAATTTTTTGTCTGAAATAGGAGAACTCTGTAGATTATGTTGTAGGTATAACTGTCATGCGTTTATTTCTTAAATAACTGTATCAAAGATACCATTACCATTGTCCAACGTAGTAATTTGTACTTATGCATATTTAAATATATAAGATATCATATGGAATAATGTCTATGGAATTGATTGGCAAAATAAAATGACAAAGTGCGTCTTGGGGTAGACAACAAAACAGGCTAGATGAACAATACCTACACAGGTACACGTGGGTAGGTAAACAAATTTTATGCTGTAACTCGTTTTAGAGGTACGGACCCCATGGGTAACCGGGACACTTTCACGAGACTACTCATCATCATGTACTTTTTTACTGCAATATTACGGAATAACTAAAAACCATAAAAATATTTTAATCAGTATACTCAACTTAATATAAATATGCCAATGTTATGGAGGAATCGATGTTTCCCAATTCATTTTCATTGTTTTCTTTTGTAAATAATTATTTTGCGTTAAATAAAAAATATACTTAGGCTTCTATTGTTCGCAGCTAATTTTGTATATTTAAAAAGACATTAATTTAGGAGTTCACCTTTTCACAAATTGATTTCGTATAACGGCCAATCCTAACACTAAACGAAAGCACCATTTATCAATTTCTTGCGTACCGTTGTACAAGTTCATACATCACGTCCGTCTTAAATTATATCCGACCTTTTTAGTTGCTCCGTTTATTATGATCTCGTGTTTTGTATTTTACGAAACACTTTTATGTGGCGAGGTGCTAAAGGTTTAGGCTCTGTAATTTCCTTTTAAACATTCGGACGGAAATTACATTTTATTTCCTACATCTTTTCATTTATATATATGTATTATTACGTTATTACCAATGAAAGATTATACAGTACAGCATCCGAAACGTTGGGCCGTAAGTCATTTGTAAATATATTTAATAAGACACGGTAGCTCAATTGCTTACAGCATCAGCACGGAACGAGTGGAGGCCGGTTCGAATCTCGCCCGGATTGACTTTTCTTAATTTATAATCGATTTTAATTTATATAGTGCCATCATGTGCAACAATAACATGTTAAAAATAAAAAATTCTTCAAATAAATTTAACTAATATATTACGCGTTTTGAACCGTTAGTGTATTTAAAAAATATATTTCTAAGTATTCAATTTCGTTTGATAGATATAGCTAGAGTGGAACACAAATATTAGGTATATGGAAGATAAGCCGTTAAAGGGAATACTTTTACTGCGTCTAAAGTAGTAACGAAGTACGTACATTCGTATATGATTATTTGATAATTTCACAAGACATTCAAAGTAGAGCGTGCGCGTCAAAGCAAAATTAAAGCTTCTGTTTGCGCGAATATAATATTATAATGTCAACACGAAGTAAATTTGAAGCACATCAATTCAGAAAGTTCGACAACTTCAAGAACGCTTTCGAACTCTCTCTCAAAGCACAGTTTGTTGGCGAAGTTATAATTCATCTGCTGGGGATTTTTTATCATGTTTTTGTATACGATAGCAATGGTAGGAATACAGTCATACATCCGGCAGCAAAACGGCACCAAAAGTTTCATATACTTTGTATTTTGTATACTTTATTTTGAATTTCCTAGTTTGTCTATAACAGAGATCTCGAGTTTGAGTCTTAAATAAAAAAGGAGTATTTGAATTTTTTCAAAGTATTATTGGAGGATTTCGTGAAATGCATATTTCCAGCAATGGTATCCACATTAGAACAGCGTGGTAGGTCTAAGTTTAAATCAAGGAGGGACCTGATAGGGGCGGGTAGTCGTGATTTATTAATACAATACACAATTTGAATACCTTAGATCACGAATTTTCATTTTAATATGTACGAAAATTTTAAGTTAATAATTTTTTGGTTTAGGTAGCTAAAACAAGCGCAAGTCTCAGGTTGTATAAAATATTAGGAATCCAATTAGTAGAGAAGGTTTCTAATTAAGTAGTCCAAACGCTAGTTACAAGCTCTGTTGTAATTGAGTTCTTTGTTTTCTAATTAAAACTTGTTCGTCATTCGACAATGTACAGAGATAAGTCAATTAATTGAAGAGCTATATGGTAACGAGCTACGCTTTATCTAGCTTATACTAGAGATTATTAATATTGAATTCTCAATAATCATTAAAAAAATATAACACAAAAAAGTATATTAATAATATTTAACGGAAGTCTGTGGGTTTATTTTTCATATTAAAACGTATAGAAGGTAGAATAATATTTAAATGTATTAGGTATACAATTGTTAGCGACTACTTCCGTTTCCTCGACCCGCCACCCTGGCTACTCTACAAATACGAAATAGTACACATCCGGTTCCTTTAGTAAAATAAATAGGCAGTGACTGTTTCCGTTTCCACATCATTTTAATTAATTAGAATTTAGCTAAATATATTTATTTAAGTAATTAACCTTAGTTACAGAATTGAGTTTATATTTTGATTTATTTAAAACAGTGCCGATGTATTTTATTTCTAATTGTTTTGATATTACGAATAAACAGCCGCTTAGTTTCCGGTGAAATTATTAGGATAGGTGGGAGTATTTGTCAGACGGCTATATAACTGCTTGTAACGTTGATTGTGGGGTATTCTGTCCTGTGTTTAATAAGCAGTCACTCTGCCGGATTATACGTGTAAAGTGTCTGTCTATAGTGTATTATTTCTCTAACCTAACCGACGTCTTAACACAATCCAATTTAACTTGTATTTATAGTAATACTAGCGGCCCTGTCCCGGCACTCACCCTCGCACGGGTAGACATAAATAAGTACAAATATTTAAATTATAAGCATGCTAATTAAAACGACCATGAATCACTAAATTAGAAAAAAAATGTATTGCGCGTCCTCTCTGTGAACGACCGTGGTCTATCTCGCTGGTTCAGGAGCCGCTGCGAGCGTTCAGTGTTAGTGTCCCGTGCACGCGTTTGCGAATTCCTCTATTTCCTTATTTCCTTCAAGTCTCTGCGACGATCTTGCATTTTGTTCTGCAAGATGAACCTGAACGTTCGACGATAGAATCTCTGGCTCGCGATTGGGACGCGTACACTCTAATACTTTCCAGACTTTTTTCATTTTAGGAAGCAGACTCTCCAATACGACAAACTTTTGTTAATCTCGCTTGGAAACTATTCTTAGATAGCTGCGACCTTCTTCTTCTAGGCATATTGCTATGAAGGATATTTATTTTAAATCAGAGAAATTAAGAATAAACTAGTAATAATAAAAAAGAAAATATTCAAGTTCAAAGCGATAGTTCTGAAAAGAACAGACAAATATTATGCAAAGTGTGATTCCTAATACTAAAACTAAGTAGCTTTGAAAATAACTTTTTAAGTGAAGCATAAAAATGTAAAAAAAAAATCGAAATATTCAATGTCGTTCGCGCCCACTGCGTAAGAAGCCCACTCCGAATTAGTCATTCGATGCGCGGCGTGGCGGCCGCCGCCGGCATGTATTTTTTTTTAATTTCACGATATCTTTTGAATGGAATGTCCGATTTCAATAATTAAAAAAATAATCATCAGGTATTGAGACAGTCTTGGATATTAAATTATTTATTTGGATAAACATTTATAAATGGTATGGATAACACGGTTTGATTTTGATCGATATTTCTACTAATTTGTTTAATGTAAAAAAGTAGTTATAGCGACGTAACTACAATAGTTAGACATATGCTCTTGCGATGTTTTGTGGAGATATTGATATATTCTATAATATTGTCGAACATTTTTTTGTCCTATCATTAATATTTTTCAAAGCGTATGCGAAGAAACACATTTTACG